TAAAATTTTTTTTTTAATGGCCTTTCGTGGCTTCAACTTTGCTCCGAGACAAGACATCACTAATTCAGAAGTAATTTTTTTTTTAATAAAAATTACTTTTGGGCCAGAAACGATGATATTGTGTGCTCTGAATTGGTAGCACGGCTCCAAATAGGAAGGATCTCGGCCCGACAATATCAGACAATGGGTTAGTTAATGTTGGCACTCGCAAAGGCCCATTCACCTTTTTAGTGTGGCATATCCTCATTTAGTAGTTCTGATCGATACACAATATTTTCACTTGGATCTTTTCACTTCTCTTTCCTTTCATTTTCCTTCACTTTTTATCTCGATCATAATGTTACAATTTTCAGGCTTTGTTAGTTAGCCCTCACGCTAATTTATGATGAAAATCAAACGAGGGACAATATATTTAACATACATAATAAATTGAAAGAAATTAAAATAGTAAGAGAATAATTTTAAGAAAAAAATTTAGGTTAGATTACTTATATCTATTATGTCAAGTTTTTTAACCATACATGGTTATATGTCCTTTTTTATTTTATATGAATTTATAATTAAATGTTATTAATAGCTAATATTTTAAAAATAGGACATTATGATTAGAAAACTTGACGTAGTAAATATAAGAAACTTTATATGAGCATTGCCCCAATTTTAACATGCCATTGCTTTCCTAAACATGAAATATTAAATAATTATATAACTTATCACCAAAAAAAAAAACTTACATAACTACTTGTCTAGAAAGAATACACGCGCTTCATTATATTTCATGAAGTCTCATTTAAAATTGGCATGCTATTTCATATCTTTGCAGTTAAATTTTATTTGATTAAATGCTTTTTCAATTAAATTATTTGAATGAAATTGATGCTGAACACAAGTTTTTAAACAACTGTTAATTGCTTAACGAACAAATTAATGGAAGAAGAATGGATAATTTTTCACACATATATTGTCTTCCTTAACGAATCAGTCTACGATAAAATCTAACTCACCTTCTTAATATAAACACCAGATAATTAACTCATTAAAATAAAAAAAATTAGTTAAGTTAGTTATTTATAATAAATATTTGTTGTTGGTTTTTTTTTAAGAATGCACTTTTTAATCTTATGCATTTAACTACTCCTTTAAGTTATAACAAGTTTTATGTTTAGTTGTTATATTTAGGAGAGGAGGTAGTAATTAGAAAAATAAAATGAGGTGTGCCCATCTATTTCTTTTAACTTTTTCACCAGTGACCCGCCATTTATAAATTGTGACAAACGTGCGCGGATTCTAATCCCCCAGGTGAGAGGAGCAAATTAATTAAGAAGAATAATTTAATGAATTGATGCTTTGACTTTTCCTACAAATACCCACACATACCCCACACTGTTGCTACACTCAACCTAAAGGTCGACATATAGTACGAAAAACCTTGTCTTCCTTTGTAAGGATATAGATTCACGAGACGTCTATCGTTGCTGCTTCAACGACCCTTGTTCCTTCTTCATCAACCCATTTGCGTCGACATCTTGCAGATTATCATCCTACTCTTTGGAAGGATTATTTCCTTCAATATGCTTCCCAATCTTTGGTATATACTTGAAGCTCTCTCTCTCTCTCTATATGTATATATATACTTCTTGTTATCTTGGTTTGCTTGATAATGATGAGTTGCTTAAAAACTGTGTAGGAAGTTGATGAAGAAATGGGGAAACAAGTTGAAACAGTGAAAGAAGAAGTGGGGAAGATTCTCATATCTCCAATGATGGAGAAGCCCTTAACCAAAGTACTTGAACTGATTGATTCAATTCAACGTTTGGGCTTGTCGTACCATTTTGAACATGAGATCCGTGAACTATTGAAGCAAATTCACAACACTTACGTGCAAAATAATGAAACTGTAACTCATGCTGATGATCTCTATTCCCTCGCTCTACTCTTCAAGCTACTGAGGCAAGAAGGATATCCCATTTCACCTGGTGTGTGTGTGTGTGTGCGCGCGCGCGCGCGCGCGCGCGTGCACGTGCTACTATGAGTTTAATTTGCTTCCTTCAATATGTTTTATTAATAAATAAATATACAAACATATATTTCATTAATTACCATGTATAAGATATGTTCAACAAGTTCAAGGATGAGCAAGGAAGCTTCAGTGAAAAGATAGCATCAGATGTTGAAGGGATGTTGAGTTTGTACGAAGCCGCGCATCTCAGTGTTCATGGAGAGGACATTTTAGACGAAGCGCTTGCTTTCACTTTGAATCGTCTTCATCGCTCCATCACCACCATTGAATCAAACCCTTTTCTCGCAGCAAAACTCCGCCATAGCTTAGAGCAGTGTCCTTACAGGGGATTGCCAAGGCTAGAGGCACGAAAGTACATTTCCATATATCACTTGAATCCTTCCTGTAATCAAGTTCTTCTGAAGCTGGCGAAATTAGATTTCAATATGCTCCAAAAGCTGCATCAGAAGGAGTTCGGCAATCTCTGCAAGTGAGTTCTCGGGCTTCTGGGGATAAAATAACTAGTTTGTCACTTTGAGAAAAATGTTATATTCATTATGTAAATGCAAGAAACTTCGCTTTAATAATTCTTGGTCTCTCTACGTACGTTTAGGTGGTATAACAAATTGGATGTGCAAAGAAATCTTTCATATACAAGAAACAGGATCGTCGAACTATGCTTTTGGATTCTTACGGTTTATTTTGAGCCTCAGTACTCTAAAGCTAGAAGTATAATGACCAAAGTGATTGCCCTGCTATCCGTCATTGATGATACATTCGATGCGTACGGAACTATAGATGAACTAGAACTCCTCAACGAGGCGGTCCAGAGGTTTATATCAGTTCTGATCTGGATTCTTGAGTTTTGATCTATCTATTTGGAAGAAATCAGTATCTCTCTCTCTCTCTCTCTCTCTCACCGTCTCTTTTCTGGTTTTCCTACTGTTGAATTAATGCTTGCAGGTGGGATATTCGTTGCTTGGACAATCTCCCAGAGTATATCAAATTATTTTACAAGGAACTGTTGAACGTTTTCCAAGAAATAGATGAAGACATGAGGAAAGAAGGAAGATCATACAGTGTTTACTATTCCAAACAAGAGGTGTATATATATTATACATATGAATGACTTTGTTCTTTTAACCATCATCAATTCAGCAACTTTTTGAAACTATAAACTAACCAGTTGTGACCGTTGACATCAAATATACCGTAATTTGGTTGATGACAGTTTAAAAAGGCAGTGGAAGCCTACATGACAGAAGCAAGATGGTTAAATAAGAAGCATATTCCGACAACAGAGGAGTACATGAACGTATCAACAGTATCAACTTGTTATCCAGCTCTTTCCGCTGCTTCTTTCATCGGCATGGGAGACGTAGCCTCCGAGGATGTCTTCAAGTGGGCCCAAACTCACCCTAAAGTCATTAAAGCTTCTGCACTTATTTGCAGACTCATGGATGACATTGTCTCTAGTGAGGTAACTACACATATACACACATTAATTCTTTCGAACGAGAATTAAGGTGAAGATTTGGTGATTAATATAGTTATTGATGCAGTTTGAGAAGAAAAGAGAGCACATTGCGTCACTGATAGAATGCTACATGAAGGATTATGGAGTGTCAAAGCAGGAAGCCATTGGTGAACTTGAGAAGAAGATCGGGAGTGCGTGGAAGGATATTAATGAAGGGTGTGTGAGACCAAATATTAGCCAAGGGATGCCAAAGCCCATGCTGATGCGAGTTCTGAACATGACTCGTTTCATGAGTGTCATGTACAAGGATGTCGATAACTTCACGCATTCTGGAGGACTCATGAAGGATTCTATTCAACTTGTGATCCTTGACCCTCTGCCATAAATATGATCATTATCTTATATTAGTGTTTCCTTAATTCGTTGCTTGGTTTTACTCAGGAGTATCATGAAAAATTCAGCGTGTGGCATATTATTTATATATATATATATATATATATATGGGGTGCTTTTGTTTACGTCAAGGGTGAAATGTATCTTCTCGTGTCCTTTGGGAATAAGCTTGTTTGTGTGTTTTTGATTGAAGATGATGAGTGAGAAAGAGAATGAGCGAGAGAAGAGGTAAGAGAGAATGGGTGGAAATGAAAGATGAGAGATTCATGTAATTAATTGTAGGTAAAAATAAAAATATGCATTAAATTTTTGGACAAATGCTAATCATTATTTTTATATAGGACCAAGCATATCTATAGAAGAGTATGTTGCCTTTATATGAGCAAGGGAGTATTTTTTTTTCCCCATCTTAGACAAACAAACCACATTAAATATTTTTTATTTTTCTTAGAGCAACGCCGCAGCTGTAAGTTGAGTATAAGTCGGATCCGAAAATCAAAGTGCTTCGAAGAGAATATGATATTTGTGAGTAAAATTTTAATTGGGAACGAAGAGGAGGGAAGGGAGGTGATTGGAGGAAAACAAAATTTTGATGTTTATTTATTAGTAAAATTAATCTCTTAATCCTTATACTTTTAACTTGGTAGTCCTCAAGTTTAATCTCAAGTTTGACTTCAGTACTTAAAATTGCTAAAACTCAGTCTCATCCATGTGGCAAAAAATAGAGCTGAGGTGGCATCTTAATAAGCTCCAAATCATTCTTATTTGGAAAGGGGAAAGAGAGAGAAAGTGAGGAAGAAAGATGAGAAGGGAGGTGACGGATGAGGAAGGTGGGCACGAGTTGCAGCAGATTTTTGATTTTTCTAAAGAGGACCCCGAAACAACTGTTCGTGGAGCCTTAGCTCTTTTGCAAATTAAATTCTCCCACGCCCACCCTCCTCCTTCCACCAAACCCAAATGCCTCCTTCCCCTCGTGGGCAATGTCACTTGGCCACCTCATTTCCAGAACGGAATATCCATTTCAACCACCTGTCATGATCCGATTTCTTTGAAGCCAAATAAAGCTGATGAAAAAGTTTCATACTGTGACGGTGTCCTCAGACTGTGACTTGGATAAAGCAAAAAAGCATGATGAGTCGCCCTCTACTCTCCCTTGCGGAATTCCCAAGGTTGCATGATCGCAGTCGGAAGACGGCAGAGGAGGCAGATCTTCTGCACAGAAATAAAAAGAAAGTTAGGGGTACTGAAGATAAAGAAAAGGAAGCTGGAGTAGAGGATACAGTACGCTCTTTCAAAGATACATTGAAGGGGGTGGATTCGATGATGGAGGAAGGGATTGATGCAGAAGCTGTGATGGAAGAATTGAAGGGAGGAATATCGATTATTGAGCACCCAAGAGGTAAAATTACGGTACCTGAGTTTATTTTGTCATCGAAAGTAGTAGAGCACATTTGCAAATCCTTTGCTCTAAGTCTAATAGTGAAGTTGCTGGATTGGTCGCTGGGATTAGGGAAGATCGAGGAGAGATTACAGAGAATGTGGGCCAAGGAAGGGGTGGTTTCTGTAGTTGATCTTAGAAATGATTTCTTTGTTGTGACTTTCTCGAATAAGGCTGATTATGATCGGGTCCTTACTGGTGGTCCTTCGATGATCCAAGACCATTACCTAATAGTGAGAAAATGGAAAAGAAACTTTGATATGATTGTGGAACCTATTGAGGAAGTGATAGTTTGGGTAAGATTGACAGATTTTCCTTTGGAGGCTTATGACGAGGTGATTTTATCTGCTATTGGTAATCGAATTGGGAAAACAGCAAAAGTGGATTTATCAACTTCTTTGCTTGCAAGGGGTAGTTATGCAAGAATTCCAGTACAGGTTAATCTGAAAGAAGCCCTTCTACCAAGGATAATCTATGAAGGGAAGGAATAAATAGTTGAATATGAAGGCTTACACCTCTTGTGCTATAGATGTGGGGAGTATGGGCATTTAGAAAGGATGTGTGCTGAAAGAATGGAAGAGCAAGAGGCTATGAGGGAAGAAGAAAGGATGAATACTGAGGAATTGAAGCAGCCTGAGCAGAAAGAGAGGTTATACAGAGCATGGATGACAGTGCACAAAGACAGGAGAGCTCGCAGAGGAGGAGCATGGGGTAATGGGGAGGATAGAAAATATTTAGGCTCAAGATTTAGTGCATTATCTCTTGAAAATAATCCTGATAAAGATGGCAAGGAAATAATTCCAGTTTCTGAACAGAAGATACAAAGTGGAGAGATGGTGGTTCTGAAAAGGTTCAAGAAAAAGACTAGAAAGGAGGAAAGTGGGGAGATGGGTTTGGATAATATGCAGGGGAATGGGAGCCAAATAAGCAAAGAATTAGTTCTTAAACAGGAGAGGAGGAGGATTTCATGGAAGAGGGATAGGGAAGGGAAGGAGGCTAAAGATGAGACTAATAGGGGGGAGCCAAAGGAGGATGTCTGGGTGGTAAAGGGAAGAGAATGCCTTGAAGATTTAGACCCCAATATTATGTATGAAGACATGGGTGGTGAGCAAACCTTCTTATTAAGAGGAGGAACTAGTAGCCGACCACCGGACAGAATTGATGAGGAAGAGGAAGTGGTAGAGCAACAGGAGTCTTTACAGGGTGAGGATGGAGCTATTATGGCTCTAGACTAATGTTTCTTAATCTATTTTTATATTGTTGATTATGAATCAAAAACTATTAGTATGGAATTGTAGGGGAGCAGGAGGAAAGAAGTTGGAGAGGGGTTTGAGAATGTTGATTGAAGATAAACGTCTTGATGTCATTGCACTTCTTGAGACTAGAGTTGGTAGTCAGAGGGCAAAGGAGATTTTTCGTAGGGTGGGGTTCCAGGATGTCATTGCTATTCCAGGAGAAGGATTTTCAGGAGGGATTTGGATAGCTTGGCATGATTGGTGTGTCACTCTTACTGAACAGAGACTGAATAAATAGTTTGGAATGTTTTAGATTTAGTTTGGTCATGAGGAGGCCTGGAGGATTGTTTTTGCATATGTATGCCCAAGGGAAAAAGATAAACATGATTTTTGGGAGGAGATGGAGAAAGTTGCTGCTGAGGATAGTGGACCTTGGATGATTATTGGTGATTTAAATGATATAAAGGGAGAAGATGAGAAAAGAGGAGGTGCACCGATTAACCAAGCTAAATGTAGTAAGTTTGTGGAAAGAATTGATAAGTGTGGATTGATGGAAATACAGTCTTATGGAAATAATTTCACGTGGAAGGGACCGCTGATTCCAGGGTTTGATCGAATTTTTGAGAAACTAGACAGAGGCCTTTGTAGTATTGAATGGAGGCAATTATTTCAGGAGGCAGGTATTAAGGTCTTACCACGGCTAGGGTGTTCAGATCACAATCCGTTGTTGTTATACCTGAAGGAAGAGAGGAGGAGTAGGGGAGAAAGGCCTTTCAGATTTGAAGCAGCTTGGATGATGCACAGTAATTTTACTCCGATGCTTAGAGAGAATTGGAGGAAAGGAGGGGAAGCTATAAGTAACTTGGTGGAATTAAAAGGGAAGCTGACAGAATGGAATAGAAACACTTTTTTAAATATTCTGAAAAAGAAAAAATGACTATTATTGAGGCTGGATGGAATTCAACGAAAAGTTTGTTTCACCATGAGAGAGCAGTTGTATCTTTCTAAAGTTGAAAAAGATTTACAGAGAGAGTTAGATGATGTTTTGAAGCAAGAAGAGGTTCTTTGGTACCAAAAGTCTCGTGGAGAATGGATAAATGATGGAGATAGAAATACAAGATTCTACCATCTAAGAACCATCAACCGAAGAAGGAGAAATAAGGTGGTGATGTTGATGGGGGAGAATAGAGACTGGATTGAAGATCAAGACATGTTGAAAAATATGGCAGTTGACTTTTATAGAAAAATGTTTGAATCAGGGGAGGATGGTACTACTTTTCAAATTGATGGCTACCATACTGTAAGTACTTTCCCAGCCCTAGAAGAAGAAGATATAAGGAATATGCGAACTCCAGTTTCTTTAAAAGAAGTCAAGGAGGCAATTTTTAGCATTGAAGCTTTTAAAGCTCCAGGTATAAATGGTTTTCCAGCTGTATTCTTTTAGAAGAATTGGAGTATGGTAGGACAAGAAGTGTGGAGGTGTGTTGAGGAGCTGTGGAAAGGGGAAAGAGATATGAAGGAGGTCAATGAAACTCTTTTGGTCCTTATACCAAAAGTGGACAGGCCTGAAACTTTAAAGCAAATGAGGCCGATCTCCTTATGTAACGTTATTTACAAATGTATTCCAAAGATGATAGTGAATAGAATGAAGAATGTTCTTGGTAAAGTGATAGCACCTAACCAGGTGAGTTTTGTACCGGGAAGGCATATCCAGGTCAACGTAGTAGTGGCTCAAGAGGTTGTGCACTCTATGAAAAATTTGCGAGGACAAAAAAGCTATTTTGCTATTAAAATAGACCTTGAAAAGGCTTATGACAGATAGAGTTGGCCTTTTGTGAAAATGGTGCTAGAGGAGCTGGGATTGGATGAGGAGTTTAAAAACCTTATTGTGAGGTCTATTGACTCTGTGACGATGCGAGTGTTGTGGAATGGGGAGAAGTCAGATAAATTCAAGCCGAAAAGGGGACTAAGACAAGGGGACCCTTTGTCCCCCTATGTTTTTGTGCTAGGAATGGAAAAACTCTCTCACATTATTTAGGATGCTAAGAGAGAAGGACGATGGAGGCTTTCAAAGTAGGAAGAGGAGGACCGGAGGTTACTCATTTAATGTTTACAGATGACTTGGTTATTTTTGGAGAAGCATCTGATGAGCAGATGAATTGTGTCTTAGATTGCTTAGGCCGGTTTTGCCTGATTTCTGGGTAGAAAGTAAATTTCTCTAAATCTGCAATTATGTTTTCAAGAAACGTGAAGGAGGAGGATGGCAAAAGGATGGCAAAAAGAGCAGGCTTGAAAGTAGTTGAGGATTTGAGAATGTATGTGGGAATTCCTTTAGCTTATGGTAAATCGAAGTATAGGAAATTCAACTTTATTCTTGACAAAGTCAAGCGCAGACTCTCTGGGTGGAAGACGAGGTGCCTTAGTATGGCAGGAAGGGTCACTCTTGCAAAATCTGTTATTGGGTCAATCCCTATATACCCAATGATGGTCACAGAGCTACCAAAGACAATGACAGATGACATAGAACGGATACAAAGAAGCTTTATATGGGGGCATGATACGGGGGAGAGGAGAACTCACTTAGTTAATTGTCAGCAACTACAAAGGCCCAGAAAGTTTGGAGGTTTGGGAATACTGAATTTGCAAGCTATGAATAAAGCTTGCCTAATGAAGCTAGTGTGGAGGATAAATTCACAGAAATAAAGTCTATGGAGGAACATGTTGATTCATAAGTATAATGCTGGTAGAGAACTCCCTTCAATCCTAAAGGTACAGCAAACAACCTCCCCATTATGGAAGGATGTGGGAAAGGTATGGGAAATGATGAAGCGGAATGTTTGGATGGGAGTGAGAAATGGCAGAGATACTAGCTTTTGGAAGGATGCTTGGGTTGATGATGGATGCATTCTTGATAATTTTAGAAGAAACGATAATAGAGAGGGAGAGGATTGGAAAGTATTAGACTTAGTGCAAGAGGATAGGGGTTGGAAGTGGGATGTGTTGGGAAGGTTTCTAAATAACAGTGCTCTGTTACATATTAGAGCCAAGGTTCCACCATACAGAGATGGTGAAAATGATATAGAACTATGGAAAGGAAGCAAGAATGGCGAATTTACAGTAAAGAGTACGTATAAGTGGCTGTGTGAGGGAAATTGGGGAGAAAAGGAGAGAATTTGGGAGCTGGTTTAGAAGTGGAAGGGCCTTGAATGCAATAGAAATTTTCTATGGCTTGCGGGAAATGATAAGTTGCTAACCAATGCTCTAAGAAATTGCAGATGGGGAGTAGAAGGGAATTGTCAGTTTTGTGGGCAATGGGAGAGCTCTCTACATGTACTGAGGGACTGCCAAGTAGCTGAGAAGATTTGGAAGGAAGTTGCGGATAATCAAATGCAAAGAAACAGCCAGAACATCAAAGTATGGTTGCTAGAGAATTTAAATAAAAGTAGAGAGATTAAAGGTTTACCTTGGAATATACTTTTTGGAGTAACATGTTGGTCCTTATGGAAGATGAGAAACATGAAGATCTTCAATCCCCAAGGAATTCGTGATCTTGCTGACAGGCAAGTGTGGTTAATCCTGAATTTTTGTGGGCAAATTGTCTCTGCCAAGGGGTTGGGGACGAACATTGAGGTGGAAGAGGAAGATGATAGTGGTGAGGAGCAAAGATGGGAGGTACCAGATGAAGGTTGGACCAAGCTAAACACTGATGGAGCATGTAGAGAGGAGCAAGGAATTGCTGGTTGTGGAGGAGTGTTGAGAGACTCCGAAGGAAGGTGGATTGCTAGTTTCTCTGCTCAAATTGGAAGTTGTACAGCAGAAGAGGCAGAAAGTTGGGGAATTCGAAGAGGTCTGGATTTGGCTTGGAATCTGGGGTTGAGAAAGATCCAGATCAAAACAGATGCATATGAAGTGGTAAGAAAACTGAAAGGAAAGATGAAAGAAGGAATCTTTATAAACCAATGGTGGGCTCAAATTTATGAGTTGATGAACAGAAGATGGGAAGTTAAAGTTTACTGGATAAGGAGATCTGCGAACACTTGTGCAGATGTCTTGGCTAAGTTAAGCTTTGGAATCAATGAGGAAGTGCAGATCTAGAGAGAAGTTCCTCTGCAAGCCTTTGAAACTTGGGAGACGGACAGGTTGCGAGGTGGAAGAGTTCGACTTGATGAAAGTGTTGCAGAGGGAAGTACTGATGCTGGATAGTGAGATGTTGTTTTAATGGGTGTGGGCCCTCGTTTTCTACCCAAAAAAAAAAGTTTCATATTGTGGGACATGAAGAGCATTCCATCAAATAACATTCAAAAGCTGAACAATATTATAGAATCTAACTTGCTGGACTACTTAATCCAGCTTCCTCAGCCACAGCGTCTCTTCTCCTCTTCCTCACTCTATTTTCTGTCGCGTAGACGAGTTCTCAAGGACCGACTCAGTTTTAACGATTTTAAGGGCTGAGTCGTAACATATTAAAACTGAAAGCATTAAATTGTAACAAGTCAAACTTGAGAAATTGAATCGCGGCCGAGTTAAAAGTATAAGAGTTGAAAGATTAATTTTCCTTTATTTATTTGATTTGGTTGGAAGTGGCAAAGAAAATCATAGCACATTTTATTTTGTTCCTAAATATATAAGATTCCAATCCACTTCGTCTTTTATATTTATGTATTTTTTTAAAGGTAGTCCTTCTAATAATAGTACCTCTAGTTAATACACTTGATTAGCAAAGATATTTTAGAAAAGACAATGCTTATTTATTACAAATAACTAATTTAACTTATTTTTTTAATCTACTCAAATTAGGATCAGAGTTAGTATTAGTTAATTAGATTGGTACGCGGTCTTCTTAATTAGTTGTGATCTGATGGTCGACAGCGGTAAAAAGAAAAGGATGATCAAAGGATAATTATGTATAATATTAAATAAAAATCAACTACAAGCCGGCTCATTTTCACCTCCATAATGGCTCCTCACTCAGAATAATGTTCTATGAATAGTAGTGGTTTAATTTTGGGCTACGTGCATTTTTAATTTTGCGTATGGCATGTTTTCCAGATACTTCTCCTAGAGTGTAAAGATGGGAGTTTCAAAATTTGAAGTTTCTTCCCCCTCAATCCTTTCTCTCTCTATCATTTCAAAATATGCAAGATTTCTTTCTCATGCTTTTTCGGCTTCCTTCTCAAGTTATATCCAATATTTTAAAATATAATAATCAAATAAAAAAATTGTTGTGAATATAAGTAGGAGTGTCAAAAGTGAAATCCCAGGTCACTCAAGAGAGAGGAAGCTAAAGCATATATATATATATATATATATATACTATCTTATATTATTGGACTAGTGAATGGGTCTAGAGGAGAAGGAGGATCTCATGTGACAATAGCCCACCATAGGAAAATGCAGTTGAAAACTGGCGATTTTCCCCCTGTGCGCGAGTTAAGACAACATTAGACACCTCTTACAAAAACCTTTATTTTATCAGTTTATTTTTTGAATTAGTCGGAGGTTACTGAACGTTAGGAAAGTTTTATTCCTCATTAAACCAAGATTATCCCTTCATTAATCCTTAAATCGTTTTTCATGAATTAATGCTTGCCAACATCTAAAATTCAATTTTGGAATGTATCTAACATTCATAACCGAAGGTGTAAATACAGTTTATTGTGCCAACATCTGAAACCGACGATTTAATCCTATTTATTGTCATAAGTGTGGTGCCCAATGTTCAGATACTCCGTGGCCTATATAAAGGGGTTCAAGATAGTGTGTTCAACACACTGCTTTTGAGCCTTTGAGTATTCGTCTTCTCATTTGCATTTCTCTTCTTCTCCTCTCTCTAGTGCTGGGTTATATTTCTATTTCTGTTGTTCTGTCACTCTATTTGCTACAGGAAAGGTTTGTTTAATCCTGGGAAGTGCCACATCCATATTTACCTATGGTGGCGGAATAATTTTTAAGGACAGTGTCTACTGGCACGACTCAAACCAGATTGATATCCAGCTCTAGTTTTCTCAACAAAAATAATATTAGAAATATATAAATGATGATATAAATTTGAGAAGTAAATATAAAATTACTAGATATATTTTTAAAGTTGGAATTAATATTAGCAGTTTTAAATTAAAATTAATATATGTAGAAATTACTTGAATTTTAATACAATTAAAAAATTAATATTTAAATATTTCAATGTTTATAATAATTTTTATCTTTAAAAATATGACAATATGACAATATGAATATTTTTGATGTAGTAATATAAATATTTTTACTTACCTCTATAATATAGTAAATTTTTCATATTTTTTTAAATTTGTAAATCTTTTAGATTTGTGTCAATTTTTACATACAGATAATAATTTTGTCTTGCAATTAATTTAATATTTTTTTTCCAAAACTAACATTAATTGACAGAGCATGTTGTAAATTGACGATTGAACCAAGCAAGCTCATTACCTAATACAAATGACAGAGTATGTTGGTTGGATGCAGTGTGACGATGTTAATTAGAAATTAGCAGAGGGGGTTGTTCAATGTTACGGGGGAGAGAAGGATCAAGTCATTGAGCCAAGTAGGCTGTTAATTAGCATAATTCCTCGTAAATGGTGGAACGTTGTAATCAAAGTGAGTCAACAACATCTACCTATCGACCTAAAAACAATATACTACCTCCAGTCCTAAAGGTAAAAGATACTCCTCCGGTCCTTAACATAAGACCCAATTGGTTTTAGTGCTAAATATAAGATCCATTTTTCATATTTATCAGTTTTCTTTAAATTACCCCTATAGATGCTCCCTCAACTATAATCAAGTAGAAGAGGTAGAGGAGGTATTAAAAAAGATGATTATGGTATTTTAGAAAAAATATGTCACTTTTCTTATAATTAACTAATTTATCTAATTTTCTTAATCTAATTAAATTAGTTAAATAGGTCATATATTAAGGACCGGAGGAGTAGTTAATTAATTTGAATAGATTAAGGAAATAAGTTAAATTAGCTATTTGTAATAAATAGGTGTTGTCTTTTCTAAAATATTCTTATTAGTGAATTGTATTAGTTAGAACTACTATTATTAAAAGGATTACTTTATAAAAAATATATAAATATGAGAGACAAAGTGGATTGAGGTCTTATATTTGAGATTAAAATATAAGTCAAATGAGGTCTTATGTTAAGGATAGGAGATAGTATAGACACACACATATAATCACAGACCCTTGAGCACTTGATGTCCCTTTCACCTGATGGTTGCCTCATCACACGCCACCGTTCCTTTGTTTGATCCTAAGGCAGTAAGCAGTGCTCTTTTCTGATGCAGACGCTTCATTTACCAGATTTCAACTTCCCAATAGCACCTTTTCTCTCTTCTCCCACCATTCATGGGAGATGTGTGTTGTAGAAATCAATAAAAATGGAAACTCTTCGTTTTTGGTGGCCATATTTTGAAGGAAGCATGTATAGAATATTATAGCAAACGAGTTTGATGAGTCTGGGTTTAATGAGTGAAGCAACTCACCAACCCCATCCTCTCTGGTTCCTTCTCTACCTAACTTCTCTCTGCAATTATTCGACCCCATCAAACTTTTGCTCATCAGTTTCTCCTTTTCTAAATTTCAAGTGTGCCATATCCAACGTCTCTTGTTATTTACTGCAAACCATTGCATGTATTGCTGTTCCTGCAATTCATTTGGAGGGGAATCAAATTAATGCGCATGCACTAGATACAACCAACAGCCAGGTGTAATGGCCCAATTATTGCTGCATTTGGTATTTGTAAATGGAAAGAGGACAACGCACGGATTTGGTAAATAAATAACAGATAAGATCCTTCTGTTTGCCTACCTTTTCAACCATCATTTTTTGCTTCATGTTTTATCTTTTCTTTATTTTAGTTCTGCTCTAGCAAGTCCTTAGAGATTGTCACTGGATATGGACTCCTTCACTTCTTCTGCTTGGTGAATCGTCTTCTTTTTTCTTTTTCCTCTCCATTCTTGACTTTTTACTCTCTCCTTTACGTGTTTCCCATTGTCTTTCCCCACTCCTCTCCCCCCCCCCCCCCAATTCTTCCTCAATTTCACGGGCAACACGGATACCTATTGAGCCATGACGTAGCTTTATTGATATATTTTAGATTGTAAGACTTGTTATTCACTTATTTGAATTTGATATGTTGTGTGCCCAGTTTGATGGTGATATGGATACACTACCTCCGGTCTTTAGTATAAGAGCTAGTTGCCTAGTTTGAGTAGATTAAAAAATTAAGTTAAGTTAGTTATTTGTAATAAATATGTATTGTCTTTCTTAAAATGTCATTACTAATTAAGTGTATTATAAGGATTACCTTGCAAAAAATAAATAAGTATGAGAAACAAAATAAATTGAGGTCTTATATTTAGAACTAAAATAAAAATTAAATGAGCTATTATATTAAGGATCGAGAGGTAGTATCATGTTTGTTTATGCACTGAGGTTTGTTTGTGGTTTTCTCTAATTTTGTTTAAGGCATGAACATAAACGTACTACGTTAGAGAATCTTGTCTAATACTACGACTAATCTTTACGGGTGCTGATCAGTAGTCACGTGGCTTTAGGCTTTGCAACAAGCAATGTCCAAAAGCGTCACGATAATATATACTCCAAATTATTTCTTTCAATTTTTAATATAAGAATTAGTTTGATTTTTAATTTATTTCTAAATATAATACCATATCTTAATTTACTTTATCTCATATTTTTTTTTCAAAGTAGTCCTTGTAGTAGTTGTATATGTTAAATATTCATCAGATGATAGTTCTAACTAATACATATAATTAGTAAGGGTGTTTTAGGGAAGATAATACCTATTTATTACAAATAAATAACTTAACAAATTTTCTTGATCTAGAATTCGATTATCTTTCCAATGCTGTGCACAGTTTCTTCTTTGGACCAACAATAATGTTGTGCCTAGTTGAACAATGAAAATGCGGCCAATGGGATAATAAAATTTGCATATGCCTCATCAACAGAAATTTGATGTGTGATTCCATGCATATAAAAAAATGCATGGTCTCAACTGACTCCACGTGTTTAATATAAGCGAATTTTGGGAATAATTATATTGGTCCATCTATTTCTCTTACACGTTTGATTCGTCGCTTTTGGTCCACTTTTTTTTTTATAAAAATTATCCTACTAAGGTCTGAAATAAATCAAAATGTGAAAATAAAGGGTTAGAAAAAGGAAAAGAATGAATGCATTTTTTCGGAATATGAAATAACCATGAATTAATATTAATCTTGTACATATAAAGGTGATAAAAAAATTAAACAATTCGATTTTTTTTGGAATATTAAATAATCATTTCCAAAATCTATTGCTATGAAACTGAACATGGTTTGACTATTTGATTTAATTAGGAGTTGGAAAATGGACGTATCCGTCTGTTAATAACGAATAGTTAAGCTTGATCACACTTACTAATTTACGGCAAAAGGTTCTGCTGGAGACTAACAATTAAGCCTTTAGCTTGATCAACTTAATCACGCTTCAATCTTATCCTGAATTGGAAAATTATTCCCTGACGTAAATGAAAGTATTTTAATTTCTCAACGATTTCATAAAGAGCTACAATTTAAATAAAGGTACTACGCGTAACTTCCAAAATTTTCTGCCCATCCATTTTTTCCTTAAGTAGACTCGATGAAGGAAATGCTCCGTAAATTGATTCAACACATATCAGGAGCTTTCCATCAAACACGTTACGTTCCAAAACTAGAAGCCATGTCTGTTGCAGCATCTCATCGTGACAACACAAGAAGATGTGCCAATTTTACTGCAAACAAACATTTGGAGCAATATGTTTCTTCAATATGCTTCAGAATCTAAGGTATTCTATATATATATATATATATATATATATATATATGAAACCTATATTGATCGAGCATTCTAGCTAGCTCGTTTGTTTGTTTTTAAATTAAACATGTATTAAAATTACCTATCCGTGCAGTCTGGGATATGAAAATTACATGCTTGTTTGGGAATTTTTCAGGAAGTTGATGACAATGTGGAACATAAGGTACAGAAAGAGAAGTTAAAGAAGGTTATATCTTCCAACAATCAGAATCCTTCAGGAAAGCTAGACTTCATTGACTGGGTCCAACCTTTGGGAGTTTCCTACCACTTCGAACATAAAATTGAAGATACATTGTCAAAGATTCACAGCATTTATACCAGCAACAACAATGTTGTTAGGCGGGATGGAGGTGATAATCTTCACTTTGTGGCTTTACTCTTTCGGTTGCTGAGGCAACATGGATATCCCGTTTCATCTTGTATATTCAAACTTCATCACAATTATATCTGCATTGTTTAATGAGAAGAGTTACATTTCTCTTTTCAAGCACTTCTACTAATTGGTGTGCTCAGTATACATACATATGAAATAGATGTATTTGAGAGATTCAAGGACATCAAGGGAAAGCTTAATAATGAAAGTCTCGCTGAAGATAACATTGAAGGAATGTTGGCCCTGTATGAAGCTACACAATTGGAGGTTCCCGAAGAGAGCATACTGGACGAAGCTCTTCATTTCACTTACACCTGCCTTAAATCCCTCATAGATAACAACCAACTGAGCCCTTGTCTCAATGCACGTGTCAACCACCGCTTAAGTCAGCCTCTGCACAAGAGATTGCATAGGCTAGAGGCAAGGCATTGCATGTCTTTCTAACAGCAGCAAGATCCTTCCCAAAATCATATAATGTTGCTCGACTTTGCAAAACTGGATTTCAATATGCTGCAGCATTTGCATAAGAGAGAAATTGGCAATATCACCAAGTAAACGAAGTGCTATATGTGTTGACAGTAATGATCCGTGGTGTGTGTACATATTACTTAAGCGGTGTTGTTTATTTGTATTGCAGGTGGTGGAAAGAACCAGAGTTGCCCAAAGAGGTCCCTTACGCCAGAGATCGATTGGCAGAATCCTACTTTTGGTCTTTAGCCATGTCTTATGAGCCTCAACTCAGCACTACAAGAATGATAACTAGCAAATTGGTTGCTATTATCTGTCTTCTTGATGGTATCTATACGCCTATGGCACACTTGAAGAACTTGAACTTTTCACATAGGCCATCCACAGGTTTGATAACAGATTATAGGGCCAACTTATTTACCAATCCTATTGCTGAAAAGTGAAAATTAATCATCAATTTTATAAACAACTTGGCTATTCCTTCTTATTATTTGGTTATTAGATGGGATTGAAGTCCCGTTGAATCACTTCCAGACTGCATGAAAGCGGCGTTTGAAGCAGTTTGTTGAGAGCCTTTGTCATTCGCCTTGGGGTTCCCAATCAAAAATAAATCCAAGCAATGCAATATAGTGCAAAACTCGGGTCGTTTCACTTTGAGGAGCCTTTATTTGAAATCCTAAGCAACTAAGTATCAAAAATAAAGAATTGACTTGAAAAGAGGATTGATTTTCTTTTTAACTAACTAATTGGAAAAATTTAAAAGGATGCAAAATGAGTAAATAATTTTTGGATTTTTAGTTTATAAAATAGATATGAATGAGATAAACAAAGAGAATTAACAAGTGACAACAAATAGAAAAGCAATCCTCTAGCACAATGATTTAGGCTATCATTACTTCAATTAATTTGGGAGTTAGCTAAATTCAAAAGACTCTAAGGGCCACCCCTTAGACTCGGTTTAATTAGAATAATCAACACCAAACCACCTTGCATATTAATTACTCACAATTAAACTGTTTCAGCACAATTAGCCAAAAAGAATCAAGGAAAAGCAATTAACTTTTTTTGTCCAATAACCAAGCCACCTTGAATTACCACTGAATATTCACAATAATTTCAAAACATAGTCTGACCCAGTACAATGTAAAGAAATTAAAGCTAATCACAGCATAATGTTAAATGCTAATCAAAGATTCCAGCAGTTACAACCAATCTCAATACAAATATAAATCATCACAACACATTCAAACATTATAAAATTTATTCTAAAACCTAGAAATCACAATTATAATGAAAGAAGTAAAGATTGGAAGAGCTGAAACTCCCCTTTGAAGCTTTAAGTTCAAGCTATAACCATTGCTCTAGAGAATTGGAAGGATTTAGCTACTCTTGACCATCACCATAGCTCCACCAAAATTCCAATTCGGTTCAGCCATGAAGAACAATGAAGATGGAATCTGGAGGAGTGATTTTGCCGTGAAGCTATGGTCCTTCGTTCTCTCTTCCTCGCCGCTGGTCCTCTTTTCTTTTTCTTCCGCCGCCAGCTCCCTTGCGTGTGTGTGTGTTTCGTCTCTATTTTTAATGCTCGCCTCTCTCTCTCCGTCTTTTTTTTTCTTTCTTTTTCCTCCGCCGCCAGCCCGTGTGCGCGTCCCATGAAGATGATAATAGTAGGTTATTAGAGGGGGGCAAAACGTTGTGTTTTGCTCCCCTTTTTTGTAATTATTATTTTATTATTATTTTTTTTTTTTTTCTTTCTTTTTTTTAATTTTAATTTTTAAATTTTTCAAAAACCTGCAAACAAAATTTAAGGATAAGGTAGCATTAATTGCCCTTAAAAATTAATTAATCATAATTAAACCAAAATATGACAATTTTGCCCCTAAAAATTAATAATTCAAAATAAAATATATTAAATCAATTAACAATCAATTAAGACAAAAAAGGACCAATTAAGTTGACAAAACCCATATAAAAGATATCAAAATATATAAAAATAATTGAGTTTGTCACAGTTATACAAGCTTGCAATGAAATCGACATGGTGACTGCAAAAGAAGGGACGTCAAATTTTGTGATGCCGCATGTTAAACAAGCAGTATAGAAGCAATGACTTTATAACTTAATTTCAACACAGATGATGTTATACTTATTCATTTTCACTTAGTTAATTACATATTCTGGTTGTAGTTTATTAATTTGGCCGAGGCATACTTGATGGAAGCAAAATGGTGCAGTGAAAAGTACGTCCCAAGCTATGAGGAGTACAAGAATAACGGAGTTGTATCTTCTTTTGACCCACTTCAGATAACTTCTTTCCTGGGCCCCGGAAACCTAGCAACCGAAGAGGTGTTTGATTGGATTTCCACAAATCCAAAAATAATTGAAGCTGTCTCACTTATTGGCAAACTCATGGATGACATGGCCACTCATAAGGTACAACTAAAATAATATGCGTGGGCATTTATATACTCACAGTAACTGAACGTTTTGAATAAGAAGACATAATATGCATTTACTTACAAACAACAAAACTTCATTCACGCATGTCTATTTTAAAATTTTGATATCAACTTTTAATAATAAAAAACATAATATAAGAGTAAATTAAACCATTCTTTTTGGTTTCACTTAAATTGTATAGATGTTCTCGGTACTTCTAAACCTTACACATATGATCTGTTGAAAATAAATATATCATATATGCTTATATTATTTGGAGGAAATGATAAATAAGAGTTTTATGGTTTTATTTGCATGGACATGTACTTTGAGCAGGAGAGAGAGCATGTTGCTTCAAGAGTGGAATGTTGTATGAAACAATATGGAGTTTCATAAGAAGAAGCCTACAAAATAATCAAGGATGATGTCAACAATTGCCGGAAGGACATTAATGAAGAGTATCTGAACAATCCATACAACATCCCGAAATCTCTGCCCGACTTTGTCGTCAATTGGGCTAGGGTGTCTGAGGTTATCTATGAGAATCTACAAGATATATAGATTCACCAATGGCGAGTCCCTCAAACATTACGTCGGCCAATTCCTTTTGGACCGCATGCCTATTGAGCCATGAAGTAGCTTTATTTATGTATTTTAGACTATAAGACTTGTAATTTGAATTTATTGTGTTATGTGCCAAGTTTGATGGTGATATGGATATATTATGTTTGTTTATGGATTGAGGTTTGTTCTGGTTCTCGTTAATTTTGTTTAGGGCATGAATAAAAGTACCACGTTGGAGAATTTTGTCTAATACTATGTGTAATACCCTGAATTTTATGATTTAGGATGGGCAGAAAAGAGAAAATTCATTAAAATTATTTATTTGCCAAATAAGTTGGGAAAAATTATGGAATATTGATTTTTAAGGTTTAGAGACATTTTGGAAAAGGTATTTCCCCAAAAATGGCTTAAATAACTTTAGTGGATAATTTTAAGAGTAAAATGGTTTATTTTCTCCGAAAATTATGGAAAAATACTTAGAGATTTATATTTAATCTGAAAATTTTAGGATGATCATTTGAGATAGTAAAAAAGATAGTTGAGGCATAAAATCCTTAAATGGGTTAAGGATTAATTTCTGGAATTAAGAGTTATTTTCTTGGAAAATTCAAGAAAAATAGTTATGAGTTAATTTTTGACCCAAAATTTTTAGGGAAATTATTTTATGGGTCAAAGAAGATAATGGAGAAGGAAAATCCAAACAAAACATCATGGAAAAATTTCTGGATTTATTCTATAATTTCAGAAATTTAGTGAAAGGATGAAATTGGAAATAACAATGTTTAGAGGGGCAAAATGGTCCATTAAGTCACACACTACACGTGCCATCTTCTTCATTAACAATCAGCTCACCGTGGCATTCTTTCATTTCCTTCCATCCGCGACAGTGAGAGAACTCGAGAGAGGGAGACAGACCGAGAGAGAGAACGGAGAAGGAGTAGTGCCGGAGGTGGTGATCTGAGGAGCTACACTTGCATGCAAACCGGTTAAACTGTCAAGGTGAGCATCCTGATCAACCTCCCACCATTTTCTTTCCTGTTATCGGAGTGGTTATGTCGTGTTTGAGGAGAGAGAGACAGAAGGGTAGTGAGAGAAAGTGATGGAAAGGATAAGAGGACCGATGGATTCGGATTCTATGGGTAGATTGAAGTGTTTGATGTTGGTTTTTAAGCTTGCATGTGAGATTTCTTGCTGTGCTCTAGTTTGGCCGAACAGGGGGGCATCATGGTTTCTGTAAGAATGAATTTCGGTTCCTTATTTACTTAGTGAGAGGAGTTGATCTTGAGGCTGTAAGTTCATTTCTTCCTTCTGTTTTCTTGCTGGCCGAACTGACATAGCACGAAACATATATCTATATATATATAAATATATATGCATGTGCCGCGGGATCCAGAAGGAGTTTGTGTGTGGCGGGTTGCTCTGTTTTTTTTGAATCCGAGACAGGGGAGTGTATTCGGTGCTTGCATGTTGTTTACGTTAGTTTGCTGATGGGACTTTGTTACTGGTTACAGAGATTTTGGAGTGTATATATATATGAGGAAGAACCGAAGCTTATGTGTGTGTGTGTGTATATAATGTGTGTGCGTGCTTTGTTGCTGTCATGGGACTCGAATTCATGGAGCTAAGGGAAATGGTCACTGGTTAGATGATGACTGTTTTGGAGAGGAAACCGAACTGATATATATATATATATATGTATGTATGTATATAGTTTCAGTATATGTAGCGATATATGACTTATATAGGATTTTGCACTGGATATATATTTCCTATATAAGGACCGTGGGAAGCAATGGCTATGACTGGAAATTAAAGAAAAGATTAAGAGTTACTTGGAAGCAAATAAATGAAGGTTTAGTATTTAATAAGTGTAAGGATGCTTCTTTGCGTTAAGTAGTATTTACCTAGCTAAATAAATTTTGTTTGAGGCTGGGATGCAAGTTTAGGAATTTAATGTTTGCTAACATCCTTGAGGGTACGCTATTATTGAAATTAAGTTAAATACTGTTTTGAGGGAGAATTAATTAAGAATGTTTAACTTATATTTAAGTTAGTCTTAAATCTGAAAATTTTTCTAGATTTAACTTGAAGGTTGAAAAGAGATGTTGTTGGGTATTTTTAAGTAGTGAAACTGAAAATTGATTGATACCCGATCATAATTATGAAGCAATAGTAATACATAATAAAATTTTGAGATAAGATTGTGTATTGTGTGTCTGTCTTAAGGTGGAAGTGTAGTGGCTGTTATGTGCATTTAGATGTCCAGAAATTAGCTTGAATGGATTTAAGTATTGGAAGTGAAAAGTGATACATTCACACATATTGAGGGAAGGAAAGAAACGTGTGAGGCTTGGAATGCAATGAACTTGAGTTTTGAATATTGGATATAAATGAAATGGAAAATCTGAAAGTTTAAGAAAGAAGCCTTTGATGGAGGGTT